TTGTAAACTTTTGATTCAATAAAAATACAAATGCCTAAGCTTATAATCATAATAAGTTTAAATATTCAAAACAAACTTACCGTCCGCCGCCGCCGAGAGAGTGGCCAACAGTTGGACGACTTTATAGGGCTGTTGTTGAGGGCCAAACCCATTACTAGTAAAGGTAAGGCCGCCGAAACCGGTAGTACCGAAACGGACGAGAGTCGCGACTACGAGGGCCACCATATTAATGACGGTAAGTTTGTTTTGAATATTTAAACTTATTATGATTATAAGCTTAGGCATTTGTATTTTTATTGAATCAAAAGTTTACAAATTAAAACATAAAGATAAAACAAAAATAAACAAAATATAAAGTGAGATTAAATTATATAAAATTTAATTACAAACAGCGCATAATTAAATTAATATAACATGTTGAAAAGGTGCTGAAAGCAAAGCGATCGAGAAACAAATTCTTGACATTTCAAAGGACAGGGAGGGAGACAAAGAGATCGAGCCGTTGACCGACGAGGAGATAATCGGGAATTCGCTGTTTTTCTTTATCGCCGGCTACGAGCAGATGGCGGCCACTCTTTCCTACCTTACGTATGAGTTGGCCCTAAGCCCAGGTGCCCAGGAAAAGCTGTACCAGGAGGTGAGTGCCGCCGCCACAGTTACTAACCCGGGCTCAATCACTGACAACAACAAAAACAACACATCCACCGATCACTTGGAAATACCGTACGACGTGTTGGCCACTCTACCCTACCTCGATGCGGTCATATCGGAGTCGATGCGCATACACTCGTCGCCTATGAAGTTGCGCCGATACGCGATGGACGACTACGTGCTGCCGGGCACGGGTGGTGTGCGTGTGCTAAAAGGCCAGGAGGTACAGATACCCACCCACGGCATACACCACGTGGACGAGTATTTCCCGGATGCATCCCGTTTCATACCGGAGCGTTTTATGCCAGAAAATCGGCACAAACTGACGCCCTATACGTACCTGCCGTTTGGTGTGGGCCCGCGTTACTGCGTGGGAATGCGTTTCGCACTAATGGAGGTGAAGTACGCGTTGGCCCATATTGTGCGCCGGTATCGGTTTGCCCGGAGCCCGGAGACAGCTATGCCGCCGCCCGTCCAGAAGCACCCGCTATTAAAGATACCACAATCGGTGTGTTTGGCTATTGAGCGCCGGCATTAATGGTCACCAGTTCCCCACTCTTACTACATTTTATTACAATTAGCATTTTAATTAATATATTCAGTAAAGGTTTAGGTTTAGGTTAAATTATTTTGTTTTATTTGTGTTTAAATAACTTTACAATTAATTGCTTTATAATTGTATTTTTATATAAATTACAATTTTGCCTAGAGAAATTTTGCTTATGTAATTTTATATTAATTAATTTAATATATAGTTAATACAACAGTTATACAAGATTAATACAAAATTTGTAGTAATTATTTGATAAGATATACTGTAATTCTGTAAAAGAAACGTTACCAGAAGTACAGAAATTCCTGTAAAATACAGGAATTAGAGAATATTCACAGATTAAAAGATGTCATTCCTATACATTAAAAAATACAAAAATAAATATTTGGGCAAAAACACTGTAAGATTTTTAAATATTCAAATATTTTATATCGTTAAATGCCATCTATAAGGCGTGAGTTTATATAACAGGAATATAAATAAGGCTATGTTTGATTGGCTGTCAAATTTTTTTGGTATATGCCATCATAACAATTAAAACACTATTTTATACATTCATTACCCCTCTCTAATGTTGTGTAAAAAAGTTTCAAAATTATTTCAGAAAGTAATTATTTTACCCAAATGTTATGCTACCGAGAAGATCAGAAAATATGACTTATTTTTGTTTTAAGTTACAAGGACAATAAATAGACCCGCAGTAACAATATATAAATTTTCCACGATATATTGAATATCGAACAATAACATGAGTTGATCAAAAATTTTAAATCATGTGATTATAAGCTCAAAGATCGCACCCGAACGGCCTGACACCGGGAAGTGGACAATTATGTGCCAAAAGTTCGGGTTGTATCCGATCCGCGATTTTCACACATGGAATAGTTGGTTAACTTATGCTTATACTGGAAAATCATTTGTGACCATTTAAACCACAAAGGGAGTCTGTTCAGAACATTTAATTTGATACATACCTAAAATATGCCTATTTTTGGCCTATTTTTTAGACCACATTTTTCAAAAATTGTCCAAAAAAATTACAGATTTTTGAGTGAGAAGTTTATTCCTACCCACAGTATTCTCCTGTTATTCCTCTATAAGATGAGTACTAATATTATTCTCTGCAGTCAGCATTTAATCATAAAAATTATAAAACAAAAGTAGTGGTCGAAACAGACATCACTCACTTCTTTGACCTCCAGGACAGCCATTTTAATCGGGAATTTAATTAAAATTTGTTAGAATGATGGTCAATACTAGCCGATAATTATGGCTATTTCATAATTTGTAATAATATTTTGCTTCATAATAAAAAATTGAATTTAAATTTTCACTGACATTTTCTTGCTATTTACACTCACCCCTTATATGTTGTGCTTAAATCTGTATTAATGCCTATTAGTTTTAAAAATTAATTTTTTAAATAAAATTTGTTATTATATTTTATTACATTTATTTTACTAAAAAGCATCTATAATAAACTTTTTTAACTCTCTCTCTCTCTCTCTCTCGCTCTCTTTCTTCAAAATGTGTTTATAAATCCTCACGATATTAAATGATATGACAATTAATACTTATTTTTAACAGTCATTTAAAAGTCGTTTAGAAATCAATGTTAAAAAAGAATGAACTAAAAACATTGATAAACGTTAAATTGCTAAAATTAATTGTTATGATAATGTTTTATTTTATTATAATATTTTAAGATGATAAAAGTACAAGTATGACAAGCATATTTTAACTTTTTCAAATCAATAATATAAGCAATACTATACAGTACATACATGTAACATATTCAAATAAAATTATATAATGTTAGTTATTTATTAATTTAAAATTAACGTCTTTAGCTATCAATAAAAATGGTGCCAAAATTGACAATATTATCAATACTAGTGCTGTACTGTTGTGTGCCGGCCATAACGGGTGCAAAACAGGCCCCGAATGTGATATTGTTTGTGGCGGACGACATGGGTTGGGCAGACGTGGGCTATCACTCCGACCACATCCTGACACCTAATATCGATAGTCTGGCCGCCGATGGAGTGCTTCTCAACCACTTCTACGCCCACACCGTTTGCAGCCCGAGTAGGGGTGCGCTTCTGACGGCCGTACATCCCATACACCTTGGCTTTCAAAACTCTATCATTCACAACAAATCTCCCTATGGTTTGCCACTGGATCGCAAAATATGGCCCCAATATCTGAAACAACGTTACAATTACTCCACACATATTGTCGGTAATAAATAAAATAAACATTTAAAATAAACATGCAATATTTAAAAACTAAACCTTAATACATACAATCACACAATAACATTCATTCATTAATCTCATAATTATATAATAATGCAGTACATCTACATAATAAATAACATTGGTCAAAAATTTTATAATTAATTAACATATTTAACATAATGAACACCAGGTAAATGGCATCAGGGCTTTGCACGCAAAGAGTACACACCCACATACCGGGGCTTTGACTCGCACGTGGGCTTCTGGACAATGGGCATCGGGTATTACGATCACCGCAACTGCTTTAAGGGCGACGAATGCGGTTTGGATTTTCGCCATAACATGGATATGATTACAAACGCGTCGGATATCTATTCAACGCATTATTTCACGGATCGATGCCTTAATATCATCGGTTTGTTTGCCATTAAAAATGATAATATCGTGCCATTTATTATTTATTACTTCTCAGACCAACACAACACATCCCAACCCTTATTCCTATACGTGCCCTATCAGGCGGTTCAGGCATCGTTGGTACCCATACGGGATCGCTTGGATCTGTTCCCATACATCCGGTCACCCGAGCGGCGAGAGTTGGCCGCAATAGCCTATAGTATGGACGAGTCTATCGGCACTGCTATGGAGGCCCTGCATAGCAAACATATGCTCGACAACAGTATTGTTATATTTTTTAGCGATAACGGCGGCCATCCTGTCGAGAATAGTAAATACTATGATATGATCATGTTAGATTAGCATAATTTTTGTTTAATAATACTTAATTAATGTTAGGCAATAGGGCACCAGGTCCAACAAATGGCCCTAAAGAAAATGGCGCCCAAAATCGACCCCTAAGGGGTGGAAAGTACTTGTTTTACGAAGGAGGTTTGTAAATATTGATGATGCGCCTAAAGAAAAGTCATATTATTTTACCGACTTATTCTTTATAAGTAACATATTTTCAAACACATTCCTCTTTTTGATTATACATGATAGTTTAATTATCTAGATATTATATTGTTTCACTTGATAAACTATTAAACATTTGATTACCAAGTGCTAACGAATTTATAATTATATAACACTATATGGTTTTAAATTTCATGTTACATAATTGAGTGTTAATTGCACTATGCACTTGTAGATTAATAATAGATTTTTGTGTATATTTAAGGCATACGAGTGCCGGCACTTGTGTGGAGTCCATTGCTTAACAAAAGCGGTTACGTATCGCAGGCATTGGTTCACATCTCAGATCTGTTGCCCACTGTTTTGGATGCCATCGATGGCACAGCAATTGATGATCAAGCTCATATTTATGGTACATTGTATACTAATATTAACAACAACTTATTAGAACACCTTGCAAAATTTATTGCGATCCAAATTAACTTTTGACTTTTTAAATTATCAGACTTATTTAACTAATTATTAAGACTATTATTAATTATTATTAAGAACATAATATTACCTATGAGAATTGTTTGTTACTATCAGTCTAACAAGACTATAGTTTTAAATGTATAAGGTATGTTTTAAATGTATTACGAACATACATAACATAAAACTAACACAGACTATTAATTTGCACATACAATATATTAAATATCATACCCTACTATCAGGTGTTTCCCAATGGAAAGTGCTGTCAAATAATGAACGGCCGGTTCGTTGGGAAATACAGCACAATGTGGACCCGATAACAAATACATCGGCCATACGATGGTATGACTGGAAACTTATCAAAACCAGCAAACACTACGGACCCTCGTTTGCCGATTACACCCCCTCTCCCATAGATATTGGCCCCCATTTGCGGACAAACATTCAAAACAACGATCGCTTGAATAGCAAAACGTATCGCATTTTAAGGCAAATGAATCGCCGACCGGACTATAATGTGTTGACGGGATCTGAGGTCGAGTGCCGACCGGTGCCAGACTCACAGCTCCGCCCCGAATGTATGTCCGATTATTGTCTGTTTAACGTAAGGCACGACCCGTGCGAACAGTACGACCTCATCGGCCAAACGGACCGCCGATTTGTACGATTCCTGTATCAAAAAATGGTTACATTTAACGCCACTTCTGTTCCGCCTCTGAGTCTTTTACCAATGGATCTCAAATATGATCCAAAACTACATAATAACACTGTTGTTAATTGGCTTGACTACTAACCATGGTGATTAATCTGATCAATACTGTATGACTATTCATTGCAGACAATACAGACTATAACTTTAAACTAAATCATATAATTTTATAACTTTGTTTTTCAAACTTAAAAACTTTTTTGTTGCCACTGTATTAAACTAGTTAATTAATTAATTAATTAAGGAGGTTTTAGTGTTTACAGCTTTCTAACAGTTTTAAATTAACATCTAATTTTTTTAATTGGAAAATTGTTAAACTTGGTTTAATTAATCAATAACAATTTTATTTTGTATTATTAATATGTAGAGTTAAATAAAAATTTCCAACCAATTATATTTTACACCAGCAGATTCTTAGAATTATTTAATGAATTGCTAAATTATAATCATAGTAATTTATCAATATTTATTACTATATTGATGTACCTACGCAGAGTATATTAACAATTTATATACAGTACTGTATAGATTATAATTAGACTAAAATTATTGCCTAATTTGCTTTCAAATGTTGCACTTACTTGAAATATACTGTAGATTTTAAGTAATACTGTATTATTGTCCAAGGTGTGTTGTGAATATGAATAAGGAAGGACTATTACTAATTTAACTTGCTTATTACATCAATTAAAAAATTACAATGATAAATCTCCACATACAATATGTATGGATTTTCACTTTATAAACCAAACATTATACAACATGTATAAGTTTAAAACAAGAATACCAAGTACTCAAAATACACTAAAAATCAAAGTTACAATTGTATTATACTATTATTATATACAATGATAAAGTACGGATTATCATAGTATGGATCTTATTATGATATATTTATCAAGTAACGTAAATGTTATCTACAATTTAGCTATCATTAGATCTAAAGTATCTTATTAGGTTATATAAGATATGTTTGTATGTGATAAAACAATGTAGATAAACTGTTAACAATTTTATTGCAAATGTTACATCACTAAATCTTATAAAGATGTACATTTTGGATCATAATTACTTTGTTAGTGTATTAGGGCAAATTTATAAAGGTACATTTGTACTCTATTGGACTACAACATGATGCAAAGGAATAGATAATTGTGCAAGATGGGCAAATTAAACATATTTAATTTTTATTTGTGCACACTATAAATTATTATTGCTGCAGTGCAGACACACCAGTAGTGTTGCCAGAAGCTCCCGGTTGCCCGGGAGTCTCCCGGAATCACGGTCCGACTCCCGTCTCCCGGTGGGGGTCTTACCTTGATATGGGGAGCTCCCGGAATTGCATTATGATGAATACATTACTACAATTTACAGTTTTTGCTTGGAAACCTGCTATGAAAATGAATATTACAATTATTAAATTTACAAATATTGTTTCACTTAATTCACAATATTTAATTTGTCGAGAATCAAAATATGTATAGTAATATTAAGCGAATAATGTCAACAATCATATTGATTTAACGTAATTTTCAGTTTGGACTGATTATTTTGATAATTATTAGATGCTAATGACATTTTAAGACTATTATGCCACCTCAAGGAAAGAATCAAGGAATTCTTAAGAAAAGCTCAAGGAATCTCCCGGAAAATTTGCTTTAAAAATGATTTTATCAAGGAGATAGGGAAAATGATCTGGCAACACTACACACCAGGTTAATCTAACGGCACTAAAAGCGCAATAATTAAAATTTCATTGTTTTATTATTGTCACAGGTTATACATACAGTAAAAATTTTACGGTGTCATAAATATTCTCTATATAAGCAAAAGCATATAAAATAATTATATTTTAAACTACTTTCTTTGTAAAATGTGCTTTAACAATTTTAATATTAATTTTAATATGTATAACAATATCTACTGTAAAACATATCTATTACTATAAACTAAAACATTAGTTAAAAAAGAATTTAATTTTAAATAATAAATTATGGAAGATCAAGCTAGAATTACTGGTAAAGCACCATGGGACCGCATGAATTTCATCGAGAAAATGTGTATCAGGTTAAATAATATTAAATGTAAACTTTTAAATTGTGTTAAGCTAATACTTTATTTTTTAAAATAAACCAGCTGGGTGTTTCCCATATTCTGGTCGGGAATGCGCAAAAATCGTCTGGACCTTGATGATATGTACGAGTGTCCGACGCACGACAAATCGCAACACATTGTTAGAAAGCTAGAAAAGTGAGCATCATACAATTAAACAAATGATAAAAAATTAACTCGTATTAAAATTAAATTTACCAAAACAATACAGAATGTGGAAGATTCAACGAGGTAAAGCGCAACCAAGATTATGGCTGGCGCTTATATGGACTTATGGCGGTTACTTTATGGTGCCATTTATGATTGTCACAATTGAAGCGAGTTTTAATTTAATTTATTATTTTAATAATATATGATTTGTAATATAAGGGTTTCTAAAAACATATGTCCATGATTTTACTCAAACCCCTTACCAATAGGAGTGTGTACTACGTATAGCACAACCGGTGCTTTTGGGCTTTATTATAGACTACTTTAACAGCGAGAACGGTATATCATTCTCGATGGCCTGTTGGTCGGCTGGGGGTGTGTGCCTGTGCTCAGCCCTATTCATAGCCCTGTTTCACCCGCACCTGGTGCTGGTCATGGAGTTGGGTATGCGAATGCGCAGTGCCTGCTGTACTCTCATGTATAAAAAGGTACCGTTTTCAACTTTTTATATATTCCTGGTCTAAACAAATTATTTTATTTTTACAAATTCTAGGCACTCAGACTCAGCCGCACTTCCATGGGTAAGACCACTGTGGGTCAAATTATTAATCTTATGTCCAATGATGTCCAGCGATTTGATGAGGTAAATTACTTTAAAAACTAGTTAATAAATTTATTTACAAGTTAGTGCTACATACTCCATAGTTTAGATTATTTATAAACTGAGATTTATATATGGTCTCATTTTATAAGATAATTAATTAATGTTTTGTTGTTTTTTATTGACAATGTTATAGTTTACATTATACTTGAGCTATATGTTTACTACTCCAATACAAGTGGCTTTGGCTCTGTATATAATATACGGCGAATTGAACTGGGTCTGTTTTGTCGGCATGGGTATTATGATATTGTTTATCGCGTTCCAGGGTTTCATGGGCAAACTGTTTTCAATGGCCAGGTGAGCGTTCATTAAATAATGACATGAGTTCTCAACGAGGCAAACATAAAATGCAAACATTATGTGTGTCATAAACTACTGTGAATTAATGGCCAAAAAATAACATTATTGCAAAAAAATATAATCATTATTATGTGATAATTAGGGGTATGACAGCCGGATTAACGGACACCCGGCTCCGGCACATGAGCGAGATCATTTCGGGAATGCGGGTCATCAAAATGTACGCCTGGGAGAACTCGTTCGCTGATTTAGTATCCAAGGCTCGAAAGTAATTCATTTTTGTACATTAAATACTCAATTTTATGAACACCAAGTTTAAAGCCCACAAATCATCTAGTACTCTTAGCTTTGGATTTGACTAAAATAATACAAAATGTGTTTATAAAATCAGGGTTTAGTGTAATTAACGTTATTTATACTCGTTTGCAAAAACATCTACATAAATTATTTTTATAAAATATTTTACCACCAGAAAAGAGGTATCGCGTATACGACTGTCAGCCCTGTTATGGGCCGCCAATCTAGCCATATATTTTGTGGCCACACGTATTATACTGTTTGTCTGTTTTATCATCGTGGTGTTAACTGGCAATACACTGACCGCAAAAGCCGTATTTGTGACGTTGACATTTTTTAACACACTCCGGCACAGTGTAACCTATCAGGTGCCCAAAGGTATAGCGCTTGGCGCTGAGATTATGGTCTCGTGCCGTCGGATTCAGGTATAGTAATTATTACAATGTTTGAGACCTAGTTTAAATTAACTTCTAATTATGGTCTTAGATAATCACATTTAATTTTGCAAAAACAGAATAGTTTAAACATGATTATTCAATTATAAATTTTAAAATATATTTTACTCTATTTTGCAGACATTCCTAGAGTTGGAAGAGATTAATTTAAAGCCAAAACAAATGATTAATAATAAAACTTATTCAGCTGATAAATATAATGATAATAAACTATCAAACGAGCTCAAATCAGATATTATTAATAATCCTTATAATGATTTGGACACAAAACTCGTGGTGAATAATATCAACGCCAAATGGGATCATGTATGAAAATTATAATTTAATTAATAATCACAATTTAATTACAATCAACTTTATTGATAATAAGGACACACCACACAATACTCTTCGGGATATATCGGTATCACTAAAATCTGGTGATTTGTTGGCAGTCATAGGGCCAGTCGGGTCGGGAAAGGTATGACATTTTTTTGAAAGACTAGTTGTGTTGAAAATTTTATTAAAAGTAACCAAAACAATAAAATAACTAGAGCTCGTTTCTAATGGCACTGCTTAATGAGCTACCGGTGCTCAGCGGCGATATGCTGATATCGGGCACAGTTGCCTACGCGGCTCAGGAGCCCTGGAATTTTAACGATAGTGTCCGAAATAATATATTATTTGGCCGGGAGTATGACGAGGACAGGTACAAACAAGTGGTAGATGTGTGCGCACTGGAGAGGGACCTACAGATAATGCCTTATGGTGATAAGACACTGGTTGGTGAAAAGGGTCTGTCACTGTCTGGTGGGCAGAAGGCCAGGATTAATTTAGCTAGGTGTGTTTGGGTGATTAGTAATTTTAGCATCATAAAAAGTTTCCATATTTATTTAAATGTAATATTACATGATATGCAGAGCTCTGTACCGAAACACCGACATTGTATTAATGGACGATCCGTTAAGCGCTGTGGACGCCTCAGTGGCCGAGCATATATTTGATAGGTAGGTAAACATACTGTCGGGTATAATATAACCCTGATATAAATGCAACAATGGGATTTTAAAAAGTATCTAGGGAACATAAATAATTAATTAATTAAAAATTAATTCTACTACTCAATGCAGATGTATCGTCGACTACCTATCGGCCAAAATCCGTATTTTGGTCACACACCAGATCCAGTTCGTACGTAAGGCGAGTCACATACTGGTGCTGGACGAGGGCCGGTGCGCCGGTTACGGCACGTTTGAGCAGTTGCAGGCCCAGGGGCTCGACGTTATGGCACTGCTCAGCGAACAGGAGAGACAGGCGGCCGAAGAGCAGCGGCAACAACTCCAGCGGACAGTATCCATGACTAGCAGTCATAGCGGCGGTAAAGGCGACCACTCGTTACGGTCCCGGAACTCGTCCCGTACGGCGTCGATGGCACTCTCCGAACGGTTTGACGACATTAACGTATGTAAAAAATTGTTTTGTTTATAAAGTTTATCTAACTTATTTATGCGATACAGTCCGACCACGATTTAGGGAAACTTGGAATAATTAGTATTTGAATTGTTTTGGTGGTGATTCTATTTTGTATTCATTAATAAATAGTGTAGAGATAATTTACAATACAATAAATATCATAAGTTTTATTCAGGAAATTTAATAATGTCAATTAAAATAAATTTTTATCTTAATTGCATTGAAATGATAGCCTGAGACAATAGATGCTGACGAGAACAGCGATGGCGCCCCCCATATACAGGAGGAACAGCGAGAGGTGGGCGCTATCGGTGGCAGTGTTTACTGGGAGTACGTCAAAGCCGGCGCCGGACCCGTACTGTTCATATTGATGGTGATATCGGCCCTTTTATCTCAGGCCATATTTCACGGCGCCGACATTTTTCTAACTCAATGGTGACCACAATTTATTAACATAATTGTACCTAGGACATTAAACAATATATACATAACTACTCATAGGACTGATAAACAGAAAAGTAAGACAGACCTAAGCGACGATGAGCAGCACCGGGATGTGTACATATACGCCGGCCTTATCGGTGCCCTATTTGTCACAACACTCATACGTACGACCACGTGGTTTGCAATGTGTATGCGGGCCTCTATTAATCTACACAATAAAATTTTTGTTCGACTATTGCGGGCACCGATAGCCGTGTTTGACGCAAACCCTGTTGGTTAGTTTTGGTTTTGGCTTGTCCAACCAAATACACTTCTTAATAATTAATTTATTATTCTAGCTAATATTTTTTATTAATTTTAATCAAGGTCGAATATTAAACCGATTTACAAAAGATATGGGTATTGTTGACGAGCAGTTACCAGCTACTGGGTTTGACCTAAACATGGTAATTTTTTATTCTCTCTTTCTCTCTCTCTCTCTCTCTCTCTCTCTCTCTCTCTCTCTCTCTCTCTCTCTCTCTCTCTCCCTCTCTCTAACTCACTCACTGTCATATTAATTCTAATTCTATTAGAATTTCCTGCAATTACTGGGCGTAATGGTGGTTGTGGCCATGGTCAATCCATACTTAACTATACCTGCAATAGGACTAATAATATTCACTATGATTGTACGCAATATATACATTAAAACGGCCAGGGACATTAAACGATATGAGGGACTAAGTAAGTACACAATAAATATCAAATAGTAGCATAATAGTAATAGACAAACCCCACCTATTTGACCTAGCTCGGAGCCCAGTGTACTCGCACGTGAGCACAACATTGAACGGGTTGGCCAGTGTGCGCGCCTACGGGGCGCAGGAAGTGTTTGAGCGTCAATTCTACGTATACCAAGATGATCACTCGGCCACCTGGTTCCTATTCGTGTGCTCGTCCCGCGCTTTAGGCCTAATCACTGATTGGCTTTGCATCGCGTATATCGTGTCCATATCGGTGGTGATAATGGCATTTCCTAATGCCATCACTGGTGGTCAGGTGGGTCTGGCATTTTCATCAGGTGAACATTTTATTTTCATAGCACTTGAGTCTAATATTATAATACAATTTAGATATACTGTATATAACATATAACTATATTTAATATAATTTTATAAATTAATGTGCATTTTATTATAAACTGTAACAGTAAAATATGTGTTAAATAATAGTGCTTTATAAAGACAGATTTCTATTATAAACTTGGTTTATTTAAACCAGTTTTTCATAATCAAAAGTACAGTATTATAGTTATTTTAAAAAACATTGTGCCACATTTTATTTCACTTTTGTTGCTTTTTATATAAGTAGTTTAATTGTAATTAGTAATTACTACAGAAAACATTATTTGCACTAACGAACCCATATTTACCGTAGTGTTAATGTTGGTCAACACCACTCAATGGGGAGTCCGACAGTCCACTGAGTTTGAGAGCCAAATGACTTCAGTCGAGCGGATCGTCGAGTACTCCAAACTACCGCAAGAGGCGGTCGAAACGGCCCCTATGGCCGGCCCTATTGGCACCGGTGGCTGTTGGCCGCCGTCCGGGTGGCCACAGGCCGGACAAATAGTCTTGCAAAACATGTCCCTATACTACGAGGGCTCGGATAAACCGGTGCTGCGAAACCTGTGCTGCGCTATCGGCGCCGGCGAAAAGGTGGGCATTGTTGGCCGCACGGGCGCCGGCAAGTCGTCCATCATAGCGGCCCTCTTCCGATTGGCCGAACCCCAGGGACAGGTAGTGGTCGATGGGGTCGACACCAAAAGTGTTGGCCTGCGTGAGCTCAGGCGTCGCATATCAATTATACCGCAGGAACCGGTAGTGTTCACCGGCACTGTCAGGCATAATCTCGATCCGTTTGGCGAGTTTGCCGACCCGGATATATGGGCCGCGTTGAATGAGGTCCAGTTGGGCCACACGGTTCGTGAGCTGCCCGGCCAATTAGACGGCGCTCTTAGCGAAGGGGGCGGCAATTTGAGCGTAGGTCAGCGCCAGTTGGTGTGTTTAGCGCGGGCTATACTCCGCGACAATAGGGTACTGGTGTTGGACGAGGCGACAGCCAATGTGGACATACAGACCGATGCGCTCATTCAGACTACGATTAGGCGTCGGTTTGCCGATTGCACTGTACTTACAATCGCTCACAGACTTAACACAATCATTGATTGCGATCGAGTTTTGGTTAGTTGTCATCTCTCTCTCTCTCTCTCTCTC